ACATTTTTAACCCAACGTTTGGGTTTGTCCATTTTTGACCCAAAGTTGGGTTAAAACAACCCAGCATTTTTAGAGTGGTTTTATGCTGAAGGGAATAGGAGTTGAAACAGGAAGTAGTCACCTGCCTCTCTAAACATACACCAATGTGACCTTTGCTCCCTGGAGGTCAAACGCCAGTGACCTCAAACCGCTCTGTTTACCAATTGAAAACCCATACTCAGACAAGTGTTTGCTGACTGTCTCCTATAAGAATTCGCGACCTAAAACAAGTTTTTTAGCAAAAAGAGCAGGAAACTGCACTTTGTGATTGGGTGAGTTGATTCATATTTGATAATAGGTTCAGTTATCAACTCTCTCTGTTGTTTTCGTGCTGTCTGTGTTATAACTCACACACACACACACACTGTAATTTTGCCTTCAGGGTCTGAACACAAGCAGACACGGATTCCTAAGTCTGCTGACCCTGACACTGCTCACTGGACACAATGGAGACAGTTTGGTTTGGGGGGTTTCCCCGCATTGTCCATCTCACTGTAATCCTTTCAGTCTCTCTTTTCATCAGAAAAGGAAACAATGTACGCTTTAATATTTCATAGATAAAAATGTCACTCTGTACTTTCACATTTCCAAACCCACAAACAAAATTTTCACATGTAACTCCTCTTAGAGATTACAAGCTACAGCCTATATTTCTGATCAGACTGGAACAAAATCCCACTGAAGATTCCTTCCTTAGCAACACCTTAGCAACGGCTTATATTCTAACTAGCACCAATCGGAACCGACCTGGAAACCACTTAAAATACCTTAGGTGTGTGAAATCAAGTCAGTTTTTTTTACAATACACATCCCAGACAGCAAACTGACATTGAACCAACGCGGAAACGACGTCTCTCGTGACATTGAAACAACGTTGATTTTGCTCATCGAATTAACGTTGAACCAACGTCAGACGCGGCATTCTTCAAAGCTAAATGAAAATTGAAAATTGGTTTGCTTTCATAACGTTGAAACAACGCGTTGATTTCAAGTTGATTTTCCGTTCGTTTTGAAAGAATGACGCGTCTGACGTTGGTTCAACGTTAATTCGATGAGCAAAACGATGTCAGATCAACGTTGTTTCGATGTCATATTTCCACGTTGATTCAATGTCAGTTTGCTATCTGGGATAGGTCCAGACTTACTAAACAGGGCAAATAAAGTGCAATCCCATAAAAGCACTGAAGGGGAAAGTTCTGCATGTGATCTACTAATGACACGCAAATTAAAGCACACGTGTGCAGCTAGTTTATTAGTGTTAAATTAGCGTCTAGTTTAAGACAAGCTATTTTGTGTGCCATATAATGGCCCTAATACCAGTACCAATACCAATTGACTAGCGCAAACCTTAGTAAATCACCTTGCATGATTGATTTTAAATACTCTCCTCCCATAAATTTGAAAAGGAAACTCCTACAAATGCAAAAAATAACCTTGTTCGTGCCGTTTAAGCGCTAATTTTTCACTGTGTGTCTTTAGTAAATCCTGACAGTAGTTTTTTATTGGCAAAAGAAGGTTTGTGCTGGTGCTAGCTGGCCCGTTGTTTCAAAGCAGCTTTACAGGAAATCATGATGGCAATATTTATAACATCTTAATATCTTCATGCCAAATTTAGCACATTACAGCTGGGCGATAATTTCTTTGACATTTTTCAATAATACAAGCAATCAAGCATTTGAGGTTTTCTGTATCGTATAAGCCTGTATACGTGCAGTTGGAGATACTTATCCAATATACAGTTCACATTTTTGCAATGATATAAAAACAATCATGCAGCTGAGATTTGCTATAGTATATATTGCTTTATGTGAGTATACTGTTTTTATGCAGGTAAAGTATCTGTGGACCACACAGAACATCATAGCAACCGCCTAGCAACCACTTTTCAAAAAGTCAGGGCTCAATGAACGTCACTTTTCAATGCTGTTTTCAGTCCAGGCTTTGTCTTGCCAATTTGGTCTTGACGAAGTTTCCTTTTTTAGGTCTTCCTGGTGGTGCATTTGTGTTTTTGTGCTTGTGTGCATGTGCTTATGTTTGCTTGGGCTTTCAGAGTAAATTACGAGCCGCTGACTGCACACTCCATGGTGCCACACAAACCATCCCGCACTGGGCCAGTTGGCACTGTTTGTGAATGCATGTGTACGTGTGTGTGCAGCCATGCATGTGCTTGCATGTTTGTGCATGTGCATATGTTTGGCGACGTGTGCATATGTGCGTATTATAGGAGTGTCAGTCATTTTACACTTTTTTAAAATTGCATTCTCTATTCTGGCCGTATTTAAATGCATCTAGTCCAATACGATACAATGGTTTATCCTAACTAACAGGGAACTTTAACTAATGTTCTGGCAAGGTTCTCTGGTTACACTTTATAAACAAAGTTCGGGAGAAGTCAACTCGTCATCAAACTATTACAATGTCTACCCTATCAGCATTCATTAAACATACTTTAAAAATGTTGGCCCATATTGATTGGATAGCATCTTGCAGTTGATGGAGATTTGTGGGATGCACATGCAGGACATGAAGCTCCCATTCCACCACATCCCAAAGATGCTCTATAGGGTTGAGATCTGGTGACTGTGGGGGCCATTTTAGTTCAAGAAACCAAGAAACCAATTTGAAATGATTCGAGCTTTGTGACATGGTGCATTATCCTGCTGGAAGTAGCCATTAGAGGATGGGGACTTGGTGGCCGTAAAGGGATGGACATGGTCAGAAACATTGCTCAGGTACGCCGTGGCATTTAAACGATGCCCAATTGGCACTAAGGGGCCTAAAGTGTGCCAAGAAAACATCCCCCACACCATTACACCACCACCACCAGCCTGCACAGGGGTAACAAGGCATGATGGATCCATGTTCTCATTCTGTTTACGCCAAATTCTGACACTACCATCTGAATGTCTCAACAGAAATCGAGACTCAACATTTTTCCAGTCTTCAACTGTCCAATTTTGGTGAGCTCTTGCAAATTGTCGCCTCTTTTTCCTATTTGTAGTGGAGATGAGTGGTACCCGGTGGGGTCTTCTGCTGTTGTAGTCCATCCGCCTCAAGGTTGTGTGTGTTGTGGCTTCACAAATACTTTGCTGCATACCTCGGTTGTAACGAGTGGTTATTTGAGTCAAAGTTGCTCTTCTATCAGCTTGAATCAGTCGGCCCATTCACCTCTGACCTCTAGCGTCAACAAGGCATTTTCGCATTGAAGCTACTAAACAAACATTTTTCCAGTAAAGTTAATAGGACGTTCGTTCAAAGTTATCTGGTCTTTAATTATGCTCTCAAAATCATTCATGATTCCCAGAATGCTTGCAAAATTATAAGATGAAACTGTTTATGTTCACACAACCAAGATGATACATTTGGTAAACATTTAAAAAAGAATGGACATTTTTCAACATTCAGACATTCAATAACGCTTTAACTTAATAGGGTCATTTGTAAACTGGGATGATTGGATTTTTGGAGGATGGCAAACAGTGAGATTTCACTCCCCGCACACACGCCAACATCTTTGAGTCTTTAAGATGAAATATGGAGTCAGTATGAAGGAACGGGTTCAGGAATCAAGCTGCTGCCTGTTCAAATGAAGGGTGTGAAGACTGAACTCAACTTGCCTGTCTGTGTCTCCCAGAGAAGGAGGGGCGATGGTGGGAGAATGGAACAGACAGACAACGGCCCACAGATATTAATCGAAAATGCGCCGCAGGCCAAGAGAGGTAGCATGGGGCATGGGGAGGACGGAGGAGAAAAATGTGTTTGACTCATTGGCAAGATGAAAGTGAAGTTCAAATAAAGAGCCCGATTTAATCGGCTCGGGCAACTCGTCTTTCTCGGATCGCGAGACGGGCAGAGCGTGACGGACGGGCTTTGTGGAGGCGCGCATGACGAGAGGCTCGCCCCCATTGTGACTGACGCTCCGGGCCATGAAGGAACAGCCGAGGAGAACACTGGTCCCTATTGACCGAAATAGCCTTTAATAAACTCCCGTCGCCATTAAGTGTGACACTGCATCCCGATCAGTATTATTTAGGGATCTGAAGTGGTGTTAGCAGGGCATTGGTGGCAGTCAAATAACGTTCACCTTAATTAGTCACGCAGGGATAGACTGTTAGCTCATTAAATATCATAATAGAACAGCAAAACATCAGTCACTCCAGCTGTTGGCTTCAGCCAGAAGGCAAAAAATAGACTATTTGACACTATTTTTTCTCTTTGAACAGTAAATAGTACAGCTGCCCTGTCCTCTTAACTATCATGTGATGTCACATCTTAATAAGTCTGTTTTAATAAAAGTCAGAAGTTTGGAATGACATGAAGGGGAGTAATTTATGACACTTTTCTTTCTTTTTTCTTCCAATATCATTTTTAGTATATACAATTATTTTTGTATTATTTTAACCCGCAAAATGAATCTATCATTGCAGCCACAATTTCCAGAGATATCCCATGTTTAACTCGTTCTGTGTTTTTTGTCTCCCGCTCTATTCATGCCTGTTGCCATAATATTTGTCAATTTTTTTAATTATTAGGATACACAAACTAACTTATTTTAATAAAAAGAAATTGTTGAATGAATTAGAAGATATATTACAAATCAATTCGCATTTCTGTTATTTAAATGTCTGCTTTTTTACCAATCGAATGTTTGGACTACTCAATGTTTATGAATATTTCCACATTTTAGAATGATAGTAAAGTCATCAATAGGCTACTATGAAACATCACAAATACGTGTTCTTGTGTTACGCAGCACGTTTGAGCTTCAGCAAGAACCAATGAGGTTCATTCTCGTGTGCAATCACTTTATGAACTTTTTGAAGCGTCAAAGTGTCAGTTGTGTAGCTGTCAATGTAGTGACAGAAATCTCTCAAATCTCACCTAAAAGATCTTAATTTGTGTTCTGAAAAATGAATGTAAGTAAATGTAACTTAATTAAAAAGAGTGTAGGATCCACTCACATCTGTCTGCTAGAATCCCCTCGATACTGTGTCCGCTCCTGCGGGCGATTTCTTCTTGCTCATGCTTTTCGATGTCCTCTTCATCCTCAACCTCCTCCTCGTCACCTCTCTCACCATATCTGCCTCTCATGATGCGGCTTAATGAACTCACTGATCAAGAGTTAAACAGAATGTATTATGACAATGATAATTGTTGTAAACATTTTTTTCTTTCTTTTCTTCATTTATTAAAAAAGTTGTTGAGTGTGTATTATGTTTTCTTTTAACATGTTAAACTTTTTAGCAATGTTCACAAACATTCAGTAGGCTAACCACAAAATTTAGACAACAAAACATGAATAGGCTATAGGCTAATCCTGTTCGAGCTAACATTGATAAAAACATAAATATTGTCATTGTTTATTTCTCTATTTTTTATTATAGGCTAGATTAAAGACATTTTAGAAATAAACTTTTTGTGTAAGCCCTACTTCTTTTAGATAGCTTGGCTGACGGCCAACTGATAAAGCCTTTTTTAAATCCCGTAAATGTCAGCAATAACATAATAAAATAATTCGCACACTTTCCTATGTTTATCCCATACCTGATGGTACGTTGTCCGGGTCACAAATTCCCTCTTTGAGCAGTTTATCCCGAATTTCCCAACTGAATATTCCGGGATTTTTCCGTTTATATTCCTCAACGCGCTTCTCCACATCTGGAGATGTAGTCTGTTAAAAATAATATAAAAATAAAAAACAATCAACAATGTGCCTGGTTCAGTTCAAAGACTCTCGTTATGTCATAAAGTCAGCGCTTTCGGTCGACCATGTTGCTTTGAGTTTGCTCACAGAATCCCTGCGCGCCAGCTGTAATAGATGAACCCGCACCTCAGGGCCTCACCTTGGATTTACTCCCGCCGATTGCTCCAGGCCGGATGGATCCAGTCTCCTGATACCGACACAGGATTTTGGAGACGCATCCGTGAGAGACTCTGAGCTGGCGGGATATCATGCACGGTCGGATCCCGTGATGGGCCATCTCTACTATCTTATGCCGAATGTGGTTCGGTAGAGGCCGGCCGTTGATGAAAACTCCTCCGAGCTGGTTGACTCGACCCTGACCCATCGGAGTTGAAACTGCATCGAAGCAAAAATTATGTAAGAAACGGTCATCGAAGTAGGCACAAACATGATAGAAAAATTGTATTCATGCAGTTTAGCTTATAGTTAAGGAAGAGCCGATGCATGTAGCCTTTGAGCGGTAACACTTTAGGCCTACTGTGTAATAATAATGAACGACTTGCAGACTACTTACTAAAGGGTTAATAATAGGGTTTCTTTGGGGTTAGTTGCATGTAAATTTTCATAATTTATAGTTTGGCTACTATGACTAGGTCTACATGTAACGTGTACAAGAAAGACCACTGTAAATGTTGCAAATTGGTCACAATCAAAATAGCATGTTTTTCCATATTTTGAATTGAATTAGAATTGAGTTAAATAAAACAAAAATAGAAATGTCAGTAAATATCCGAAAGAGTTCAATTTGAAGCAAATAAGTTGTGTTAATGATGAAA